GTGTGCTCTTCCGATCTTTTCGAAACAACGTGTTCAAAAAATACATGATTCAATATGGGCAATATCAAAAAATATTTTAGAATGTCAAATTAATAATACAGATTCAGGTGATACTGATTATACTTTATGGTGTACAAAAGGACTTCCAAATATTAATAATGTATCTTGCTATGCTAATGCTTCCATTCAATGTATATTCCATTCACCTACACTCAGAATGTCGCTGCTTCAACTTGAACAAACCAATGTAATGAGAAAGTTAATTGATTGTTATGCAAATAATAAAAATGTCAATATAATTGCATTGCGTCAACTAGCAGGTGACCAATATCTTCGTAATTTTCAACAAGATGCTGGTGAATTTATCACGCATCTTTGCTACAATGTAGATAATATTAAAATAAATGTCGAACATTGTTTAAATGTAACGTCACGATGTTCTACTTGTAGTTATACTAATGTGGAAAATGTAAAAAATTATATTTTATTATTATCATTACCTGAAAATTTAAAAAAATCGTATACCCTTCAAGAATTAATAGAACATAACTTTTCACGTTGGAATAATGTTCAAAAATTCTGCACAAATTGTAATACTACTACTTTGACACTTGAAAAGACTGATGTGACAACGACTAAACGTACACTTATTGTCCAATTACTATTATTTACACTTAGTAATAGAAAAATTGTAAAAATTATGAATTTAAATATTAAATCCATATCTACAACAAAAATTTGTATTAATGATAAAATTTATAAAGTGAGCAGTGCGATTTTTCATCATGGTGAACATGTAAACGATGGACATTACACAAGTATATTAAGAGGAAAAGGTACAAAATGGGTATCTGTAAATGATTTAAAAGTTGAGATATGTAATTGGCCTCGAAATGCTAAGAATGCATATATATTCTTCTTAGAACAAGTGTGAATTCATGAGTTATTGATTAATAAATTGAATTAAATTTCACATATATTATTTCGAGCCCAAATATTCGGATTTAACGGTTGGGGCGATCCGGTGACCTTTATATATTTTCTGTCATGTTTGTGTAAACGCTTGTATAAATAATAATGTCGAACTGCTCGAAAGACAATAATGATCTTGTCACGAGAATCAGTCGCTTTCACAATCAGACGTTGTGAGAAGTAAGATCGGTAACACGCTCCGAAAGAATCAGTTAACTTTATTGTAATATTTTATTACCAAAAATTCTTTAAAAAAAAAAGTATTTATGCCAAGTAATAAAAAAGTGTCATACGTTACATCTTTTCTAAACCAAAAATATTTTTTTAATAAATAATTGTGTATCAAAAAGTAATGAGATCCCTACCAAAAATTCTTTTTAAAAAAAAGAAAAGTATTTACGCCAAGTATATAAAAAAGCGTCGTACGTTACATCTTTTCTATACCAAAAATATTATTTTAATAAATAATTATGTATAACTTTAACTTTAAAAAACCTTTCTAAAAAAGTTTATTATGGTTGTTTAAAAACAAATATGAGATCATACAAGTGGCCAAGTATTTGATTAGACAAAGAAGAGAAAAATATCCTATTCTAAATCGAAAACATTTTTTTAATAAATTGTTTAAACCATCCATTTAAAAAATGTATACCATAATAATTGAAATAAATCGTTGCGGAGCTTTTTTTACATATAAGCCATATAAGAAAGGCTGCGCAACGATACCGACAATCGTCGTTACCCGCTCCGTCCGATAACGTTATAAAAGTATCCTTGTTGTAAAT